GCGGCCCACCTAGAGGTGGATCCGGCCGCGCTAGCAGTATGCGCCTCGCCCAAGGTTTTGACTTGTTAGTTACATCGTGCCGGGTGGGAGAGGTGAGGGTGTGGTAGGGACACGCAACACCATTACCACTAAATAATGTGGGAGTCATGGTCTCTGTACAAGGATGCTGTAGGACGCATATTAAGCCTTATCGAAATCGACAGTCAAACTGTCAGTTGTTCGAAATTGTACTCCAATCAGTCTGTGCAAAATACAATATCTTCTGTGCTTCGTGACCAAAATCCCGGGTACGAATCCCGGATGATCCGCACCTGGGATTGGATATGACTGTCTGATTATGGCTTATAAGGCAAAATGGTCAGAAAAAGCCAACGGTTTCACTCCGTTAGCGTTCCGGTAGCATTATCGCGTGGTGTAAACGTAAACGGAGTTAAGCCTAATGTCTGCGACCTTCCTTGCCCGGTTCCGTAGGAAAAGAGAGAAGTCTTGGGAACGCCCGAGTGGTAGAAAGAGTCTATTCTGTACAAAAGGATTGGAGAATAGTTTGGAGGAGGTTGCCACTCGGTCTGGCATGGCGTTGGACCGTGAGAGCCGTGTGAAAGCGCGTGGTCGTCACAGCGGCTAACGAAGCTACCTCCGCCCACTCCCTGTCGGGACGGATTCCGTTATGTCCATCAGGGCGGCCCAGAGTTAGCTTTGCGTGTGTCAGCCTCAGAACTATTATTGGCCAGATCGGTCGGGAGTGCGTGAGCGTGCCCCAGTTGCGCGAGGGCAAAAATTGCAGGTAGCACGCGCGTACGGGTCATTGCGCTGGATCGAGCGCGACTGGGTGACCAAGACTGGCATTTCGTGACCCCGTCTGTGGTCCGCAAAACCACAGCAGTTCTCAGAAGGAGACGACGATGAGCTCATGACTACCTCAACCTTATCGCATACATTCGTTTGGCTCCTATTATACCGACGCCACACCTTGCCACATCGAAAAGCGAGCAATCAACATGCATCCGCCCTGTAAGCATAAATTGGCGAACAATGTTAATATAGCTGCTGTAAAAAATAAATAGGTGGAGTATGGTTGTCAAAACCAAACGGCTCAAACTGCCAAATCACTAATCACAAGGTGCCTAACACTGGCCAGAGAATGCAAAAGCAGCCATTTGTTTAAGTTAGGAATTAATAAAGAAGTACATTCAAACAAGTGACCTTGTATTGGTGGCAATGACCTTGGCCAAAAGTGACACCGGACGCTGTTTGTAAACAGTACTGTTCAGTTTCCGCAACCATTCAACCGAGGGTTAAAAGAAGGTTGAGCTCCACCAGGCCTGTTAATTGCTCCTTTAGAGTATACGGACGATACACCAAGGCAGTAAAAACAGTAAAAAAGACGACCGGTCAGGTGTTAATAGAATGCGCTTGTATGCGATTGTGTCTATCTGTGAGGCATCCAGATGCTCAAGGAAGCAGTAAAGCAAGAGTTTTGCTCCGAAGTCTCCTTATTTGCTAGTAGAATAAGGTAAC